CCCCAAAACACACTCCCACAATAACGGCGATTTAGGCGCCCCGAGCGTGTATTAATAAAACGCCTTTCCGGAACTGTCCCGTAAAATACACCCCCCCCCCCCCCCCCCTATGTCGAAAGTGCGTTGTGACGAAAGTTCCTTTTATCTTCATATGTAACTGAATAAATTCTTGTGATTTTTGTTATATAGAATATTCTTCCCATTTGAAAAATCTTTTAGCCTAGACGAAATTTAGATCGTGTTAGCTATACTCGCCCTCAACGTCAGATATGTAGTCTTATTTTAAAAAGACTAGGGAAAAAATCAGGTAGTTTAACGGTAGAACATCCGACCGGTTATCGGAAGATATGGGCTCGATTCCTGTTCTGATTTTATGATCCTCGTTCGACAAGTCGTTCGTGCTTATTGAGGCATATCTACGGTGGATACATTCTTTAGATATAGATGGACATCTGTCCTGAATTTTATTGAATTGTTTCAACAACTTTTAACTTTTTCATTTTCTTTTTATTTAACACGCCCACACCCACACCCAAATGCTAATCCTTGTTGGCAACAATTAGAACAAGCTTCAAAAGAAAATCAAATTTGCGAACTTCTAGGAAACAATTACTAATTATGTTTTTTCTTGTTATTAACAAAAATTATATACTTTCATTTTAATGCAGTTTCATTTAGATACTAACATTTATCGGCGAAAGTTGAATTGGCGAAACGCGACTTTACCACTCACAAATGTTTAAATGTTTAATACTACCGATGGAGATGGTAACTGTTTATTCTTACTATTATTATCAAGTTTCTTTTTTTTCATTTTAGTATTATCAACTTCCTGTAAATCGTCATATGTTGATTTAATAGCCGAAGCGGCCATAGAACGAGTTACACGAGTACTATAAACAATTTTAGCTGCACACTCCAATGAATGCTGGGGACAGGTACTGGCGACTGTCGCCGAGACGTTCGCTAATTATGGCAAATGTCGTAGGGGTGCGGGTGAATGTCAATCTGGCGAATGTCCACACGACATTCGCCAGTCGCCAATATAGCGAATGTCTATTGGCGAAAGTTGAATTGGCGAAACGCGACTTTACCCCGAATAGCACAAGGATGTTGTTCGCCATCGTAGGACGATCTTTCTTTTTAACGCAGTAAATGTGATGATCTTTAATCTTGTCTAAATCAATATGGACTCGGTTTTCCATGATCTTCGACAAATCTGTAGCATCAATTCGAACGTCTGACAAACTCTCAATCGAATCGCAAATTTTCCAAAATTGTCGGACATCGTATAATGTGTTGAATTTTTTTATCAATACTGAAGGATCCAACACTTTCATGTTGTGCGGTAATCGTAATTTATCCGACGCGAATAATCCATATTCATCTGAGCAATCCAATACTCCGTCCAAAACTCCGTTCACCTTCGAGACAAGTCCACCATATTCGACACATGTTAACATCTTCATCCGTTCTCGTACCCATATGTCCGAAGGTGTCACAGTAAGAACGGAAAGGAATTCTTATAGATCTTGCCTGTAGAGTATACGAATTATTAGTGGCGGAATATTCTATATATTGTCGAACGAATTCGCAGTTTTTCGGTGACTAGGTATGCACCGAGCTTCGAGTTACCCGAAAACTCGAATCGAGCTACCCGAAATTCGAGCTACCCGAAATTCGAACTACCCGAAATTCGAACTACCCGAAATTCGAGCTACCCGAAATTCGAGTTACTCGAAATTCGAGCTACCCGAAATTCGAGTTACTCGAAATTCGAGCTACCCGAAATTCGAGTTACTCGAAATTCGAGCTACCCGAAACTCGAGTTTCTCGAAATTCGAGCTATCCGAAAATTTAAAACTACAAAA